TCCCACACCACAGGATAGTGAGCTCACTGTGCACACCATCCCACACCACAGGATAGTGAGCTCACTGTGCACACCATCCCACACCACAGGATAGTAAGCCCACCTGTGCACACCATCCCACACCACAGGATAGTGAGCCCACCTGTGCACGTTATCCTGGCCTGAAGGCACCGCGCCGAGGTTGGCAACGTTCACGACCTTCTGGAGGATCATGGAGGGGGTGAAGTTCTGGGGTGCAGCGATGACTGTGACGGAGGTCTCATTCATTCCAGTGAGCGTTCCTGGAGCAGCAAAGAAAGGGTCCGTTCAACGGGTCTTGTTGTGAAAGGGATGGGAGCATTAAGCTCACAGTCAAATTTTAAAACTTTTCCCAATGAAAGGGACACTAGAATTTAATATATAAAGTAATTGCATAAAATCAAAATGATACCAGTGTTTCTAAGACAAAAAAAGTCTTCATTGTGGGAAAAGTAAGATGCTGTAAAAATAAACAAACAGAGCATTCTTCATACATCTGATTTTAACTAGTACAGGATAAAACCTAAGAATTTTAAGTAAGTTTTCAACTTCAGTCCCTTTGAAAATGTGATGTGGGTCATGTAAACTGCCTCGACCTCACTTGGGCGGGTTCTGACTTCTTGATAGCATTACTATTTACTCTGCTCCTTCCCAGGCTACCGCCACGCGCCGACTGACAACCTACGCAGTAATCCTGCCCCAGCAGCAGGACCTGACGAGTGGCTTCCGGGTGACACTCGGTGACAGCTGCAGGGACTGAAGTCGGTTCTAGGACACGGGAGCCCTAAGCTACCCGCAACAATAAAGCCATCTGTCTGACCAACCGAACTAGAGCCAAGACACACACGGGAGATTCTGAACAGAGAAGTCTGACAACAGGAAAAACGTAAACCACACACTTCTAAACTCCTAGACATTTTAAACAGTGTTAGAAAAAGAAACTTAAGTGAAGGAAAACTACAGACAAACCGACAATCGACAGAAGACACGCCACTAATGTCAGAGCTTCATGTGGATACGCTCAGGCAAGAAACTCAGTGATATACCAAACTCTTGGGAAAACACTGCAATTTGGCACCTGGGCTAAAAAACCGAAATGATTACAGGAAATGCCATCTATTTGCGTCTGTGACGTAAGTCATGAACACTAATGATGTCTATCAAACACAACAACTTTTGGAGACATCTGATCATGTGCACAGTACTGTGCACAATTTATGAAAATGGTGAATTCTGATTTTATGTTTTCAAAAAACTTACAGTCCTTCTTATTTGACCTCCAAGCCTATGTATGCACTTTAGTTATTTATTGCAGAGGAAATCTGAACACTTTAAAAGTCCCTCTGATCAACAGGAGAAAGAAAGACACTAAAGGCTAATAACACTGCCCGAGACCCCACTCCCGTCCATCAGATAAAACCAGAGCCATCTACATCCAACAAGGAGCGCGCTTACTAACCACTCCCAGAACACTACGTTCTGTCTTAGGCCGTTTAACTTCGACATTAGGCAGAAGCTTTAACAACTACACAAGCGGCCAAACTGTGCTTTTAAGTGGAGCGCGGGGCTGACAGAAGACTGCCGAGATGTGTGTACTCATTTAGGGTTTAAACCGTCTCCATTAAGCTCTATTGGAGAGCAAGCGCTGAATAAATGAATGCAACCATGTTTATGTTAAAAGCCTGCTTCCCGCAGCATGTAATTAAAGGAAATGCTGCACGGAGCCAGTACTTTTGTCGAGCTCCTGTAAATGGAAAGATGGATAGCACTCAGAGAAGCGAATGCATTGCTTCATATTTAACCTTAACACTCTTGTCATTAATGGTTTGTCTAACTTGTTCTATAAAAGACAAGGTACTGCTCCATTGAAGTAAAATTAAAAAAATCAACTAAACCATGCTTTTCAGAACACAAGATTCATTATCGTCAGCTAATGTATTGGCATAAAGCAAAGTAACATCCTATCGAGTAAGGCACACATTCAATCTGCCTTCCCACCCCCCTTTATTTTTAACTCATGCTGTTTTATTGTTATAGGCAATTTGTACCACTCAGCATGACAGTGTAAACTGAATCAAGATTAATTTACATGCAAAAGAACACTTAGGAGAGCAGCGTGGTAAGCAAATGTATTGTCTCGATTGCTGAGGTGGAAAGGAAGCTGGAGGGAAAGGGGCTCTAATTAAGGGGCATCAAATATGATTGCCTGTGGTAGTTAAGGGCCAGAAAACAGCGAATGTCCGACCATTTAAGGAATCAGCATCTTGCGAGCTAGGAGCCCATAAGATGGATGCATAAATCACAATAAAATAAAGCAAGCATTCCAGGTTTCTTTCTTAAACCAGAGATTTTTGCTTAATGAAAATATATCAGGTATTCTCAAATTAACAAGAAAGAAAAATATGCCATGGTGATCATTAAATGTTTGCCCATACATGTATAAAAGTAAAGGTTCAGGGAATACTTTAAAGTTATCAGAGGGAAGGGCTGTGGCTTCATGGGAACGTAACAGCATTTTGTTCGAGGTACAAGACAAGATTTAATTTAGGCTTATCGGATGTAATTAATAGCTAAAATGAAAACCAAGGAACGCAATGAAATCTTATTTGAAAAGATTTTTCTAAATTTTAGATTTGCAATTTAAATGACAGGAAGAGAAGGATGGAGAGCAGGTGCCCTGGAATAAACCACTGGCCTGAGTCTTCTGAAATGAGAACTGTCTGAAGAAACTAAACTCATTTTTTTCAGTATACGTCATAGTATTGAAAGGCTCTCACACATAGCTCATTAACTATCTGCAATGCTCCAAACTCCTAACTAATAAATCACACTCCAGTCGAAGGCTCAATAATATGAATACTATAACACTTTCGATATCCAGGACAGCCCGATCTGATGGAGCACTAGGCCACACTCCTGTTGTTCTGACCACATATTCAGCACCTGAGAAAACGTGATGGGACAGGTGGTACACCGGAAACAAAGCTTTAGTTTTAAGGGATGTAAATGTAGCATGTCTGCTGAGATCACTTCTAATATTTTATAGACTACTTGGTATATCTTTGGAATAAAGTAGAACCATATTCTTCCTGTTTCTTCTTTATAATTTTTAAGTTAAATCCTAATGAATACATTTAATGCAGTTTTTGAGTCTTAAAATATGTCCTGTGAAATGAGATAATAATAAGTGCATTTATCAAAGGAGAAACAGGTTTTAAAGCTAGCATATAATAAAATGTACACACGTTTCTTCAACTTACTTACATCTTACCTTCTAGAACTTCACATTGACAAAATATAAACAAGTGATTCTCATTTAGGTTTAGGATTTCCCTGTGGGAGTCATCTTACGGGGTCTTCTGTGAAAGCCCAGCTCCCTTCCTGGGCATTTCACCAACCCATGTGTAAAGTTGTGGATTGAGACCTCTATTAGCAAACCCGCTGAAACCCGTAACTAAAAAGACGGGACTGAAAAAGCCTGTGGTGAATCTGCCAGCATCAAGTCCCACATCAAAGAATGAATTCAGGAAGACAGAGAGAATGATACAGAAACACCAAGAGACCGGTGAGGATTTACAAATACTTCATATAAACACATTTTCAAATAGCTTTATTCAGAGTAGCCTTTCTGCTCTATTAAACATAGCAAACAGCTGCCAGATTTATTCAGACAAATAATCAACAACCATAGGAGTAAAATGGCAGAAGAAAAAGGAATTTTGGCAACAAGCCACAGAGGACGGCGGCTAGTCTCCGTGTGCACCTCTCTCGTGCACTTGCGGTTCTGTATGGCTAGTCAGAGAAAAATCCCTCAGTCACAGCCGAGCACGAAACATCTCATGGAACTTGCAAGTATTCTAAACCAAAGCTGAGAGAGAGCAAGGGCATACAGTGATCTACAGTGCAGGCCGAGCTGCACCCCAAGGCAGACCATCCCCTACAATCGGCGCCTTCCTCCCTGGGGCGCCACTCACCTTGGCTTGCTGAGCAGATGTAAAGTGGAGGCAGGCTTTAGCCAGCAAAGGGCAGAATAGCAAACACGAGAATCAATTCATTTGTCATTGGAAAAAGAAAGCCACAGAGATAATTTCTTCTACAGCAATACTCAACTTTTAAGAAGACAAATACAAAGTTGGATTTAGTTATCCCTTTTTTAAAAACCCACGTAACCAGGACTAAGGGAGGAGAAGATGCTCTATTGACAGGCTTGTCTGAGGTTTTCGTGGTGGGATGTTTCTGACAACAGGTCTCTCTGACCTTCTCAGGAAGAAGCATGGCCTCTCCTCAGCTAGGGAGTGCTGTGTGTGCAGTCTTCCTGGAAGAGTGAGGGATATGACTGAACGACCTCCAGATAAAAGGATCTTTGATTATACCTTCCAGAGAGAAAAATAGTTTAGGCTCCCATCAACGTTTACACATTGCCGGTGACAGCATTTATAGAAACCCTACCTTTGTGAACACTGTACTCAAACATCTAAAGTCACTGTTTTCCCCGTATCCATACACAAACAGGCCCTCACCTTCATTAGAAAGCGTGCTTGACTCTGGGCAAGTACAATATTAATACCTGCAGTCTGCTACAGTATTTTCTTTGGTGTATATTTTAAAATCTTTCAGATCTGACTGAGTCAAAGCATTTCTTTAACAGAATTCAGTCAAATGAAAACAGAAGTCTTTCAACAGTATACTTAGGGCTTTCCTCTGAAGGGTAGAGTGGTCACTGTGTATCTGGAAAGCACATTAGGAGGAGATGGAGAACAACTTTATAACAATGCACGAGCAGATGCAGATGGTGGGTTTACAGCGGCAGGAAGAGCGTCAGGGAGTCTCCGGTTGCTGGAATTTAAAGCACACGAGCATAGCATGGAGCTCCAGAACAGCTCTCAGAATCGAGCGGCTGCTGAAGATCAGCCTATCACTGCAAAGACTCAGTAACCGATTTCCAGTCCTGCCAGGAACACACACACACACACACACACACACACACACACACACACACACACACACACACTTTTAAAGTATGAGTGCACGCGTTAGAGCAAATGGCAAGTGTGCTGTTGCTGGCTGGGTATGCATGGAAACCCCGAGCCTGTTGGAAACACAAGCGTATGTATACCGTGTAGTGCAGACCTTCCTAGCGAAACGTAGTCAGCTCTCACCTCGCTCCTTCTTAAAGTCTTTCTCTGACATGGCCACAGGTAACAGCAGTTCCCCAACAGGAGGCTGGATGCTGACGTTGAAGCAATCATCCTTGGTGCTAAGGGGAAAAAAATCCAAAGGTGACCAAACGCTTAAAATCGTACTTTTAAACACTACACAGTCTAACAGAAACAGTTAAACTTGTGATCCTCCTGCTTCCACCTCCAGGATGCTGGCTACAGCCACATGCTGGGTTTATGCAGTACTGAAGACAGAACCCAAGGCTTGTTTAGCAGGGGTGAAGGAAGGAGAACCTTGCGCCTACTCCTGTGTTTTAGGAACTGCGAGTACGGGGAGCCCACGGATGAGGCCGACGGCACAGGGTCTTTATAGACAGCATGCCTGCTCATGCAGGTTTTCTACGGAGAGCTCCAGTTCAAGGCTGCTGTCCGGGAATCCTGGCCAGCTCCTGCCTCTTCACTGTCTGAATTGCACAGATACACAGAATCAAGTAAACATACCACTACTTAATTCCCAGAACCAACACAAAGCACTTTCAAGGTTTAATTTTGAAAGACTACTTTGTATTTGTGTGTGTCTGTGTATGCATGTGGGTACCCAGGAGGCCAGAAGAGAGCATCAGATCCCTGGGAGCCACCTAATGTAGGTGCTAGGAATGGAACTCTGGTCCTCTGGAAGAAGCAAGCACCCTTTTTTTTTTTTTTGGTTTCTCTGTGTAGCTTTGCGCCTTTCCTGGAACTCACTTGGTAGCCCAGGCTGGCCTCAAACTCACAGAGATCCGCCTGGCTCTGCCTCCCGAGTGCTGGGATTAAAGGCGTGCACCACCAACGCCCGGCGAAGCAAGCACTCTTAACCACACCACCTTAGTCCAGTGTCAATGTTTCTTAAAGGAAAGACAAACCATTGAGCCCTTCAGCACTGATCCCATCTAGAACTCAGAAACTGGTGAGGATGGGAGAACACAGGTGGGGAGCTCATTTAACTCTGGTTGAGGGGGCAGAGGTTCTGAGCATTTACTCAGAAATCCTAACAACGATCGATCCTAAGAGGCAGCTTCTGTTACCCAAACTGGGCTAGTAAGAACACCAGAGAGGCTGGGGGTGTGGCCCAGCAGAGCGGCAGAGTGCTTGCTGGCATGACTGAGGCCCTGGGTGTGAGTGCCAGCAACATCCCCAAAACCCGAAGCGAATTTAATCAGCACAGCCAAGGGCCATGGAGCCGCCCGTGCCGGGCCCTGCACCCGAGCGCCCCTGTCTCAGAGCCCATTCGTACTCTGCTAGAGCGCAGCGCTTCTCTGGGTTGGGGAGCATTGAGCGTGGGGCTGAGGCATTTCTGGGTAGTCTGGAATTAGAAGAGACAGACTGAGTGATGGACGGACAGAGTCTTTGAACTTTACCATGAAAACAACTGGGTGAATGACGGCACATTAAAGAGGAATCTGGATTCTACACAAAAGAACTTGGCTTTAATTATCTCATACTCTGAGGTGTCCGGGAGATAATTAGAAATGCAAATTAGGAAGGGCAGGAAAAGAAGGTGACATGGAGAAGGAGGACACCTTGAGAAGGGCCTGGTGCAAGCCTGCGGACCACAGGGGAAGGCACCAGTGGTGACAGATGGGAAGAATGACTCCGAGGAAAGCCTGTGCCCGATCTGCCAGGAGCCTAAACTGAGGACTGAAAGAGACACTGATGCTGCCTCAGCAAGATGGATCAGAGGGGAGAGGAACAGGGCAGGGGTACAAGGGACACTAAGAGTGACCGGAGAAGCGAGGAGAGGCAGGAAGCTTCCTCAACAGACGAAAGATGCTCTAAGAACGCAAAGGGCCAGTGGAAGGCAGGGCCGGGGGCTCTGCTACAGCAAGGTCTTTTTTCCCCTTTTTTGGTTTTTTGAGACAGGGTTTCTCTGTGTAGCTCTGGCTGTCCTGGAAGTCACTCTGTAGACCAGGCTGGCCTCGAACCTGGGGATCCGCCTGCCTCGGCCTCCCAAGTGCTGAGATTAAAGGCGTGTGTCACCACCACCTGGCTAGAGCAAGGTCTTACTGATGAGTGTAAGCACTAGATGAAAGGTTAGCCTGGGAACACAGAGGAACCATGCTTGGAGGAGGACACCCAGCCCAAGGGAAGGGATGGCTAACTCATTAAGGGAGGTATGTCCCTAAAGAGGTGGGTGTACATACCACACAGTGTATGAACTGTATATATGATTTATAAACTAATGAGACAGAAAACCGACTCCTTAAGTTCCTAGCTATATACCAATGCTCTACAAAACAGGAGGCACAAGGCAATCTAGTGAGGAAAACTCCTCCTAATTCCCTTTTTATACCTTTAATTTTTTGTATCATATTTTCTTTGTTTTAGTACACAAACAATGTCAGCATTGGCTAGAGAGATGGTTCAGAGGTTAAGAGCACTGGCTGCTCTTTCGGAGGTCCTGAGTTCAACTCCCAGCAACCCCATGGTGGCTCACAACCATCTGTAATGAGATCTGGTGCCCTCCTCTTCTGTCATGCAGGCAGAACACTGTATACACACTAAATCTTAAAAAAAAAAGTGAACATACCCAAACATATGTTTACACATGCATATGTATAGTCACATACACACACAGAAACATACATCCAAGGGATGCATAGCCAAAATTGTTACTAAGAGAGGCATGTACACAGCTTCAGAAGGTAGAGGACCAGAAGAGCAGATGAACTGTGCTGCTATCTGTAACTCCTTTTAAAAGAAAGATACCGCATGCTGTGTGGGTCCGAGGTTGCTCTGCCGCGGTGATGGCTGGGAGCGGTGCAGAGTGGAGAGGAGGGGAGGGAGATGGCTTCTCAGGTCTCTGAGGTCAGGGAAGCACTCATGAATGGTTTCTCCAGTGACACAGTGTGTTGGGGAACAGCAGACACCACTGGCCAGATGTGTTCTGCTCTTGGTACCCATGCACATTTTCTGTTGTGTCTGCTGAAACGAAAGCACTGAGTGCCCCAAATGGGGCACTGGAGGTGAATGTAACAGGACGAGAACAGCGCAGCGGGGGACACTGGTGCCCGCTCACCCAGTATCTGTTTGCTCTTTCTTCTCTGCCTCTCCTGTAGCAAAGGATGAAGAAGTGACCCGGTTTTGAGCAATGAAGCACAGACAGATTCCACGGGGAGCTGCCAGGGAAGCTCTGCTTTGCTTTTTCGACACAGACATGGCTCCTTTTTCCTTGATATCTCTCCCTCTCTTCCTCCCCGCTTCTTTCTTTTATGGGGGTTGGGGGAGGGGCAAGAACATAGACAGGAGCCTTCAGTAGGGCAGCCTTCATGGGGTCAATCATAACTGAATTAGCACAGGACACACAAGGCAGAGAGCCTTAGACCCCACTGACCCGGGGCAACCGGTTACCAGCTTGGCATTGCTGAGCTTGGACTGTTCTTGGAGCAGTAGTCAAGTCCTGTTCAGTTAAGCCACAGTTGGGTTTGTTACTCATGGCAGAAAGAAAGCCTTGAACACAGTAAGTCAGTCTTCTATGCACAGTTTTGAAAGGTTCCGTTGTATTTGGACAAACTTTTTCTTTTCATTTGCAGGAGTCTCCAGGGTGTCCTTCATTTCCTCTTTCCTATCATTTTGCCTTCTTTTCTGGTTGCTTCATTCTCTTTACGGCTATTCTTTTCTTTTAAAAAAGTAATTTAAAACATTTCAAGTTGTTGTGTCTTGTGCGTGTTGGGTAATGATGTGTGTGCCATAGCGAATGTGGGGAGCTCAAAAGGAGCTGTGGAGTCGGTTCTCTCCTTCCACTTTTATGTGGGTTCTGGGGATCCAACTCAGGCTCTCAGGCTTGCACAGAGTCTCGACAGCCCCAGATATTCCTCATCATTGCCCTTCTCTTTCTGTCTCCTTTGTTTTAAGATGGAGAAATCACCATGTCTATTTCTATTCATATATATCTCAACACAAATAAGACTGGTGAGATGTAAACTGATTGGATTACCAGACCAATAAAGCAGCATCGAGACAGCTTTACACAGCTGAGCTGGACGGATCAGTTAACAGTCTGATGTAAGGTAAGATTTTATTTGTATGTTTGACTGTGATACACACACAACTATATACAACCCCATTTCACAGATGCCTATGATCCAAATGGGTAAACTAAGTAAGAGAGATGGAGTGTGCAGGCTGCTTACTGATCCTTGTCTAAGGAGAGTAATAACCCCTCAGAGATCATTTTGATCATTAAATGAAATCAAACAGGACAATGTATCACAGACACTCAAAACTTACACATGTAATCCAAATGACCCACAGCTCTTCCTCCTACCAAACAATTACTTATCTGAGCTTCATTCTCTAGAGATGAACTGCTTAAAGTGAAAACAATGAATATTTAGCACTTAGATAGACAGTGTCCAGTTGCCCTAAAAAGTGACGCCAGTTTAAGGTTCACAATTGGCACACAAAGGAACACACTTTTTTTCTGCCTTTCTTATCAATACCATGAATTAAAATAATTTTGAAAGTTTGTCAATGATAGGTGAAATATCTCAATTTTTATTTTCCCAAACACTAGCCACATTATACATCCTTATGCTTACTTGCTATCTGCATTTATTTTCTTTTTAAAAATTAAAAAAAATTGTGTGTGTGTTTGCTTATATGAATGAATATATGTGGACCTTGTCGATGCCTGGTGCCCATGGAAACCAAGAGAGACTCAAGCCCCCTGAAGTGGAGTTACAGATGGCTGTGGGAAGAACCTGTGGTTCTCTGCAAGAGCAGCACCTAGAGCCCTCTCTCTCTCCAGCCCTCCTTAGGAACTGCTCATGCGCCTCTTCTTTCCACCCTCTACTGGGTCCTGATCAGAACGGGAGTTCCTTATAGCCTACTGAGTGAGCTTTTGTCTGTTCCAGGCGCCTCGGGGCTTTTCTACTCCCTGTTTATGGTTTCTACTTTTTCTTTTCCATGAAGAAATTTTACATTAAAAAAAAACTTTTTACTGATTCTTTGTGAAC